GATGAATTAGGATCTTCAGTAGCCAATCTTAACAAATGCATTATTCCAGAAAGAAAGGTCATGGAGAATTGAGCGACGTCTCATTCTATAGCGGGCACTTAACTGTATATTGTAGCATATCTAACTCAAAAATCGAAAGTCTTAATAAAAAAGAGAATGCGGAGTATCTATAAACAAATTCAGTGTTGCATCCATGTTACGCAGAAGAACGCATTTGAGGTGTACAGTCTAGGCATTCGTCTTGTCTCCTCTAACTACAAAAATTTGTGGCAAGCCTTTCGAACATCTGTGTTATGATATCATGCATTATCAGAAAAATAAAATTCCGCCGTAAATATTTGTGTTGGATATATAACCAAACCATTCTCGTTCTTGATATCATGTCAGAGACTGAGATTGATCAACATTTTGGAAATTCGATCCGATTCGATCCAACCGAAAGTGTATGATGGAGATTTTTACCCGAATCAGCTCAAATTACAGTATAATTATTTTAACTGTACTCGAACCTGAACCGATAGACAATTATGCTTTAAGCAGCTAAGTATAGTACTCACCACGTTTACTTCGAGATTGTATCTTTTTCTAAGAAAACTCAACCTTTTTGCCATTTCAAACATTTCGTGATTATGTAGTTGAATTTGACTGATTCTAGTATGTCTGTCTAATTTATTGATTTTTATATTATACTTAGATAAACTATAGTCCGAAAATAATAACAGTGTTGTCAACACACAATCAAGAAAGAAAAATGTAAAATAGTACAAGAGAAACGATAGAGAACAAGCAATACTAGTCGGTCAAGTGATTACTTCATTTGAGGGGTGTGTCTGTTTATAAATTTTAAAAAAAATGCGTTGAGGAAAAAAACCAAAAGTCTCCTGCCATTCCCTGCGATACGACCATTTTCCCTGCAAGAAAAAAAGATTGGTTAGAAATGAAAGAAAAAGAAAACAAAAATGATAAACTATTTGATATTGTGAAATACGGCCATTCGAATAGTGAATTAATTAATCTTAAGATTCATTTGGAAATGGTCCTTGTAATAATTTTCTTACGAATATTTCATAATTAAATAAGCCATCGGCATCCTCTTTTGTATCTGTACTACGTAAAACTTCTTCAACATGGCTTACGGGCAATTTTTCAGCCATAGCCACTAATACTTGTGTTAATTCAGCTAACGACATCATACCATTTGATTCTTTATCAAATAATTTTAAGCCTTCCTAAAAATAATAAATAAAAACCGTATTCTACCTTATGGTATCAAAAAAAGTTTATTTCAGAGGCTTTGAATTCGACGAGTCCTTTTAGATATGTGAATGAATGTGGACTTCTGGAAAAAACTTGTACCAGAGACAAATGATCGACGATGGATTCTCTCCAGATGTATTATTACATCTTTCAAAAACAGTCAGAATGTTTTCGTTTTAGATAAGATATTCTGTCAGTAATGTGACCAGACGAAAAAGGTAGGTTATACAGCGTAAGGCTCATACTCTGCATATATTTTTACAGTCAAATTACAAACTATGTTGATCAGAGCAGCGAAACAGAACAAGAAAAGTCAATTACCTAAGCCATCTGAGGATCTTACTTGACGATAATTGATCTTATAAATGATCTTACATTCAAAAACCGGAGATCATTACGGTTATGGCGTGAGAAATCAAAGTTACAAGTTTTTAACCTTGTTTTGTATAAAGTGACAGAATCTGTAATATTGAGCTATCTTCGACATATCTCTTATTATTTATTCCTTTTCCTTTTTACTTACCATAAAATCTTCGTATGTTCCAAAATTTTTTGCTGGCATTTTAAAAAACTCCGAATAAATGGGAAGAAATTCTTCGAATTTCATTGTTTTTTCGCCCGTTTTTTTTGTTTGACCTCGTTTTTCACATTCGGCTACTGTTGCATACAAACCTAATGATCTCAACATATCACCAATATAAAAATTGTCCACTTTCCCTTCATATTTTTTATCAAATACTTCAAATACTTGTTTAGCTTCTTCAACTTTATCACTTGGTAAATCGGCCATTTTTATGAAACAACAGTAAACAGCAGCAGCAGTAGTAGTGGTACAGAGAGAAAGATGAAGTAATACACACAAGTAGTGATAGTGGCAGAAGAAGATGTTGATTTAGTACAAGAGGCCGTAAAAATGGAACACAAACTATCGTTAATAAACGTATCCGAAAAGAACAAGAAGAAAAAAATATTGTACAATAGAGAAAATGTCCGTCTTCTTTATTCAGACCGCGTTAAAAATATATTTCCATAATTGTTTGTATTGGACGTATGAGGTTATTTTCAGCACAATATTTTATCCCGCATTTTCTTTTTCTTTCACACACAATTATACCAATATATTCTTCTATACACAACATTTATACATTGGGAAACTATTCTGATTTTTTTTTCTTTATTATGTACATATTATCTATTAATGATGATGATAATATGGTCGTAGATATTGTAAAAATAATCTTATATCATCGGGAGAAGAAGAACAAAGCAGAAGTAGTAGACTTTTTCCTTGTTCCCAAGCAAAAATAGAAAAACAAAAAAAAGGTGTATGCGACACACTTTATGAAAACTAATTTTATTAACGTCGTAAGTCTGTTATATTTAGAGTCCTGTAAAAAGAAATTTATATACGAGACTGCGATCAAACTTAATGTGTTTTCCAGATCTAAGTTTAAATTAGCAGAGTTAGAAACTCTGATCATGTTGGGCTTAACATTTCTGAATTAATGCAAAAGTCTTGTGCTAGGCTAATAAACAACAAACTTTCTCTCCAAAAATATATATGTTCAGCTATATGAATTCTCTGATAGCCTACAAAATCTAACGTTGAAAATGATATCCTTGGACTTATATTTTTTATGCATGTGTATTATTATTGTCTATAACCTTGAAAAAGAGAAAAGAAAAAACCACACAGAAGGTATTTATCTTGTAGGAGTAATATTGTAAGTTGTATCATGTATATGAGATGTTATTGTACACGAAGAGAAAGATGAAATTACGAGAGATGCAACGGCGAAAAGTTCTAATTCAGGAGACCTTTTTTGATGTAAAATGATATAATATGATTTGCATCATGCCATCATACATTTTCAATATATACTGAGCAGTAAAAGCAATTGTATCTATCAAACATCTTTTAAGATCGCATTCAAGCGGCTAGCCAATCTCTTTCTCCACTTGAAATTGATAAGACCGATTTGTCATCATCTTACATAGGCAACGGAAGCTCCAAGGAGTTGTCTTTTTTTAAAAAGAAGCGTGACATTATTTAATCAAATTTATCCACGCACAGTTTCAAAGTGAAGCATGAGACCAAATAAGATTCGAGTCAAATGTGGGTATACGATAGTGAAACATTTCTAGTACAGTCAACTTGGAAAAGACATTACTCGACTTCACTGATGTCTTATACATTCATGTAAATGTATAAAAATCATAGTCTTGTGCATTCATCGAAATCGAGCGCGAACTTTGGATGTGATTACACTATACTGTAAAGACAATGTATCTTCGCAGACGGTGCATTTTTTTTGTGATGAATAATACGTATTTAAAGGCGCATGAATAGCACGATATGATGTGCCAAAAATGTATGCCCAATTCGTCACAAAAAAATGCATGCCAAAAATGGTTCGTTCGGAAGAAGAATCCGTTGAACCGACAGTGAAACTCCACAGTATGGATCATTTACTGAATACTGTCGGTCATCTCGGTCGGACGTTCAATGCAGAGTGGAAACCGATCGATGTTCGGGAAGATCACAATCAAGCGTGGTATCGAATAATGTGGAAAGAAGTGAGCAATCTCGCTACTCTGGCGAAAGCGGGTAACCTGAAAGATCAAAATTTCAATTTTTTTCATTTGGTGGATAAATTCCGTGATGGTCTTCATTGGTCCACAACACCATGGAGCAGTCGAGAAGAAATCTTCCAAATGATCGCCGGTGCTTTTCGAGATGCTGTAGAAATCAAACAAGCCATGCCGAGAAATGTCCTGGATGCGATGACTGATCGTTTATTAGGCACCAATAACACGATCCATCGTAAATGTGCCGAAACTCTTCTGTTCGTGGTGAAAAATCGACAATCATTGAGCGAACAACAAATGGAACAAATCGAAAATAAACTGAAACACGCCAATGACACCGGGGCGAAACAACATCTGATTGAACTCTACGCATTGTACGTCTCCAAAGGTCATCATTTCAAACTCGATTTAGATTCGATCAAAAACGATTTACTGAATGAACAAAATCTGCGAAACAGCCAGTTGTCTCTTTTTCAAAGCAGCAGCGCTGGGAAAACGAACATTCTCGGAAAAAATTATGAACACACTCAGCCAAGTGGCCGAATCGAAAAAATACGATGCCAAAGCACGCGACAACTGTCTGTAGGCACTGACCTACAGTATCAAAGAAACAACCAATAAGACATCGATTTTCACCGAAGTGATCGAAACACTTGGTGGACTACTGCTCTCCGATCCGGAGAAGAACGTTAGACAAACTGCTGCTGTTGCTCTGTGTTACTGTGCCACTGATGAGAAGACATCCTTGTCTACGGAGATATTGGAACGATTGGCAGAGATGTTGAACGAAACGGATTATGGTTTATTGAGCAATATTTTATCTGTTTATCTCCGACTGAGCAAACAGGAGGAAAAGGTGCCTGACGTTGCCTCGAAGAAACTTTGTCCTCTTCTTTATCATGAAGATTTCTCCATTCGTGAAAAAGCCATTTGGATCTTGAAACATGTGGTGGATAATCGACAAAGGTGAAACTGAAGATCATCGATCAAGTCGATGGATGCCTGAATGATTCGGAATTCGGCGTTCGAAACACAGCATCAATGATTTTCGTCAGCTATTGGAATAAACAAGCCAATCAGGATGATCGGAAACTTCTTCGAATTCTCTCTGTTCGAATGGAAAATTTTATGTCGACCATCTTTCGTCAAGCTTTCAGTTTGGATGTACAGCGACCGCGTCTTGATCTTCTTCGATCATTGGTCGAGCAAGACTTTGTCTTGTCCGAAACACTTCTTCATCTGATCGAATGTTGTCTCTATGATCGAGAAGAATCGATCTCAGCCAAATTCATTGGAATTTTTCAAATCTATTCGAAAGAACATCGTTTACCATAAACAACGCTGGTCTGTTTAGAACATCTGTTGACCACAGAAACACCGATTCTTTCCGAAGTGATTTCGATTCTCAAATCGATCGTTGCCAATGGTCATCGTCTGTCGAAAAAGGCGATCGATATTCTCGCTCAGTTATTGTTCAAAAGTCCAGAACCAAAAGAAATCAGCACGCTGTTGACACATGCTGATCGAAATCAACCATTGCCGAAAAGCATCGATGAACTTCTGCGACAGATTTATTACGGTAAAGTTCTTGAACATTCAAAGTGTGCAGCGAGTTTAAAAAAAGCGACGAAAGAACTTCTTCATTCGACTAGTCAAGGCAAACCTTTGTCTACTTCTGTTCTCGATCTGATTGTTTAGGAATTGGAATCTGACGAACGGCGATCAGCGTTGATGCCGATTCTGGTCAGCGTCGTTTCGAATGGACAACAGTTGAACAAAGATCATCATCGATCGATCTTGGATCGATCTACTTCGAAAAGATCAATCGATCATCGATTGATCTGATGGAAATCTTCACTCATCTGACGCGTCAAAATCAAATCATTTCGGAGAAAATCATCAACCAATTGAAAGAATATTTAACCAATCGATCGGTCAATCATTTTGTCATCGAAATCTATCAGCATCTGATCGAACGACAAAAACCATTGAATGCATCGATCATTGCAAAGATTTTTCAGTCGTTCTTCAATCCAAAACAATGGAAACATCCCGATGCTGATTTACAACATCGATTGGCTTTGTTTTACAAAGCCGTGGCTGACAATCGACCGAAAGAGGCCGATCAAAAATCTCTCCCGTTTCTTCTCGAATCTGATCAATCGGCCAACGTGCGAAAAGAGATTTGCATAGCGATTCGACTCTTGGCCGAACAGCGAGAAAAACTTCACGCAAAGACCATCGATGTTCTGTAGATCCTAACGGTACAGTGATGGAACGATTGATGGAAGAAGGTGCAAAACGTTACATTCATGGTTTTGCCAATGATTTCGTCGACAAGTATCACAAAAGTGAACTTCAAATCGATCCGCATGCTGAAGAAAAACTCGGCCAAGTCGTTGAACGATGTCACACGGAAGGTGGAAAACTGGCAAACATGAGCGAAGAATTGGCTCTAAACGTTAAGGGTGGCAAACAAGGTGGCGTTGTTGAGCTGTGTGTGATGGCGATGCTGACCAAGAAGCCGATCACAGTACTCCAACAACAATTGAATGGTGAAGCGAGTGAAGGCAATGGAAGTGTTCAGATGGTTCACACGTCATCGACAATTGACAAAACAACGGGAAAAATGATTGATGGTCATTACGAATTGGCAAGCGACACCACTGCTAAAGGTAGCCCAAATGATTGTTTGTACACGGCTATTCTGAGCAAAACACATGCTCAATTTCCATCGGCCAATGAAATGCGCTGCATTCATATTGACCAATCCGGGCTTCATCTCTGGAATTCATCCGGCTTTGAGCATCATCAATCAGACTCGAAATCCGCTTCGTTGGAAAGAATTGATGGGAGAAGGTGGTGCAAAGAAAATTGAATTCAAAGACGAAAAGGCTAAAAACTTAGAAGATGCCAAGAAGAAAGTACTGAAAGATCTGAAGAACTACGTCAGCGAACAGGATTATCATAACGTCACGAAGACAGCCCAGAAGTTCATCAAAGACTTACCTGAGAAGCCTGACGAATTGGGCAACTTTGATAAGTTGACAAGCAAAGACAATGGGGTCGTTCAAGTCGATTATGACATTTCCGTAAAAAAGCCACGACAAAAGGACTTTAATATGCATCTTTCGGTCAATGCTGATGAAGCCAATGCAAAGTATAAACAAGACGATCATTACGGCGGTGTTATGTGGGCAGACGGACAGAAAAAAAACACAATCCACAAATTCTTACCGGACGGTGAGCTGCAGAGCAGACGACCACTGGGCAAAACTGCTCAACCAGAAAAGCAAGAAGAACCGAAGCGTATATTAACTGGAAAACCATTACCAACAGGAGAAACCGTGACTTACACTAAAACAGTTTGGCGATACCCACCATCTTCGAAAGATCGAAAATAATGAGCACGTAGCTTCGTCAACTTCACTCGTCGATTGAAATGCATCAATGCTGAGAAATAAGTGACTGAAAATACGTAACTTCTGCACTTGACCCAACACGTCCATTTGAAGAAACCAAAGATTTTGTCCCTCGAAAATAGTTGATAAGACGTAGATTTTGCATTTGCTTGCTGCATTCTTCACTTTGCTTCTGCACACATTATTTAGTCAAACATACGTCCGTGTTTCCTGGTATCAATTCGGTTATTATAGGCACCTTCTGCTTCAGACAATCGACCACCACTTCGCGAACAGATCAATCCTAACTGGAATGTCACTCTTCTGCAACATTGTATTTTCCTTCCCGATCTTGTTTCGATAGTATGTTTATAGTTAGACAATAAAACTCATAGAATTCGAAAAAAACGCTCTCATGAATGTCCGCCAGAAACTACTAAAAACTAAAAGCTAAAAGTTTAATACTGAATACTAAATACTAAAAACTAAAAGTTTAATACTCGATACTGAATAGTGAATACTGAATACTAGTAGAAACTAAAAACTAAAAGTTTAGTGCTGAATAGTGAATAGTGAATACTAAAAACTAAAAACTAAGAACTAAAAGTTTAATACTCAATACTGAATAGTGAATGCTGAAAACTGTTTCGTTTCATTTTGGTTTTGAGTTTTATTGAGTCTTTGGTCTGAGGTACTTGGAGCTTTTAAGGTCAGAATGAAGATTTAAGCGACGATAAAGTTGGATCATGATAAAATTAGACCGTGGTAGGTTCATAGTACTCAAAAGCAATGGGGAATGAAGGATTAATAGAAGCTGATGTTATTCGAGCGATGCTTGAAAGGGGTTGGATCCAGGATGATTAGATTATTAGAACGTTGATAGCGGGTATTGATAATCAATCGCTATTTTTTGTTAAGAAGCTGAAAAACGACAAAAATGATCAAGGTTATGGATTTTATCGCGATAGAATCTCATAACTTGCTGGCTCCTTAAGGGAGCATCAGTTGTCAATTTAATCTCTATTTTCACAAAATCGGTTGGGAAATATAACTTTTAGAGTGAAGTTGGTATATCGTATGGTATTTTGGTATATGCGCGAAACTACATCGTGTCGTAAAACGCATAGATAGCGAAAATCATGTCAACTGAATCAGGTTAACTGCCAGGTGATCCATTGGTTGGTCGAAGCCACTGTTACATGAACAAAATTCTCAAAACTCGATCTAAAATAGGCGACATTTTTTCGAATGTTTGATATTTCGAATGGTTCCAGCATACCAATATTATCAAATGCAGATCAATCTATTCATAAAAGTTAAAAAACGGGTTCATCTTCAACACCTCCTCACGAAATTCAATCACATGAAACACTACATATAGGTGAGGGCGAGGGGTGTAGTGCGCTCAGTTGTGCCCCGAATTCAACTTTCACTACAAAGCAGCCCAGTTCTTGATCCTGACAACAACATATGATTATGAATTATTACTGTTATTATATAAAAAAAAGAAAACAAATCGTTT